AAATTAATATCAATTAGAAAACATTAAGGACATCATTTGTGATCACTTATTGCATGTTGTAAGCGCATCTCCAATGCTAAAACCTATTTTCGCATGCCAAATTTATATTTTGACAGGTGCTACAGTGCCAAAATGTTACATTTTAGCAATTATGCTCCAATGATACATTTCATGCAAAATGTTATTTTTTAACACAACCATTATTTTTTTTCAACTATCATTCCCACCATTTATATTTGCATCAGTAATATTAATATTAGGCACATTCCAAGTCAAGTTATAGACATTAGAAGGAAACTAAAATTAAACATAATTAAAAAGAAGTACAAATCTAAAATATCTGGTCAAAAAAGGACCAAAAAAAAAAAAAAAACAAATTATTTATAATTTTTTTACCACTATTTGTGAATTAATTTTTTTTATATAATTTCTTTTTTAGAAATTTATATATATTATATATAATATATATGTATATTATATATATAATATACATATAGAGATGCGAGTGAGTGATGATGGGTAAGAAACGGCACCGTTTTGGGAAATGAGAGGCTTGCCAAAAAAATTTGGCAGCTGCCATATATGAGAAGAAATTTGAGAATCTCAAATTTTGAGAGCTTAAATAAGAGCATATTGGAGAGGCCTTTTTTTACCCAACTCTCATATTTTGAGTTTGAGAGGCCCAAATGAGAGAGCATTGGAGTTGCTCTAAGACGAGTAATGTTATATTTGAAAGTACTGAATCGGGGCAAATTTAATTTGGGATGAGAGGAGTTTTAATTAAATTTCTTTTAATTTCAAACTGACAATTCCAGACTCACAAACATAACATAAACATAATTTCACACAAAATAGCCAATGTGATATTTAGACTTGAAATGAATCGACTTATCGACCAAAATTTTGTTTTTCTTGATGACAATTGAATTTTTCAATATTCTTAAATAAATAACTCAACTCAAAAATAAAGAAATATATTTTTCTTACCAAATATCAATGGAATCCAAAGCCACTTCAGGATTCTCGAGCAAACCAGCCAGCAAAATCAGAATCTGAAAGTACCACGTCTCTAAGCACAGCATCACAGCCGATGCAGACGACAATTTAAAGAAGCCCCAAAGCCCAGAGAAGGCCTGTACACTAAACCCAGCCCATGTGTACTTGCACCTCTCGCTCTTCACTATATATACAATTTGGCCCACCACAACACCTCACCATGACAAGCTCAACACCAGAGATGAGCCCAACAATCCAAGCCCAATCTTCAACACCACAAGCCAACTCAACAGCAGATGTAGAGCTGTTGTGGCAGCTGAGATGTAAGCACTTGGTGCTACTATGCTCTGAGCTTGTAGAAATTTCTGTATTGGGAACTTTATGGCGTATGCGTGTATTTTAGGAATGAGGCCGTAGACGTACAAGGCCAAGGCCGAGGCCGAGGCCGAGGCAATGTCAGTGCCTGGCCGAGTAATATCAAGAGGGGCTTGGAGAAAATGTAGAGCAAAGTTAGTAGGACAACAGTTGCAGTTAGGAGGATTGTTGATATTTGGAGACAAATGCCTAGCATTTCGTATCTGTGAGCTCCATATGCTTGTCCACATAGAGTCTCCACTGCACTTCCCATACCTAGCTGTTGATCATAATGCAAGAAACAAGCTGATGAAACTCATATGCATAGAAGGGCTAGCGTGCACCAAGCTCCCATCATTGCGTGGTCTTCTAGGGAGGGTCAAACGGTGCAATTTTACTTCTATATAAAGAGGTGTTTATGGTTTTCAACAGGAGACATAAGAAATTATTAAAAGAATTATTACTTCCGATTAATCACTAACTGGCACGTAAGTAAAAATATGAATAAAACTGAAACAAAATTGTCATTTTTACTTGTGTGTTAGCTAGTGTTTGGTTCAGGACCCATGGTCCGATTTTATTTATTTATTTATTTTTGGGTTATATTTTCATATTTGTATATAAATTTATAATATGCCCCTAAAATTTTCAATTGTTAAAATTATCTCCTACTCTTTTTTTAAATCTTCAAATTCCTTCCTTAAATTTCCTTGAAAATAAAAATGGTTACATTATGCTTCTTCAATCAAATCCTAATTTTGTTTTCCCTTTACAGTTCTATCATTTTATCTTTTCATTTTTTTTCCCCCGTGTTTCTCAAATTCTTGTTTTTGCACTTATATATGATGATGTATGTAGTATATTGGGATTCTTTTTCCTTTTAAATTTAGGGAGATATATTCGCATTTCACTTTTCTCCAGTTGCACTACATTTATCTTCTTCTTTTTTTTATAAAGAAAATGACAAGAAAGTCCTTGAATTCATTAATGCACTATCCCTTAATTTATAATATCATAACTACCCTTTATACATCTTTAACATTTTTTTTACCTTCTTTATTTTATTTATTATTATTTTTTTCTTTCTATTTGTTTTTTCGAAGGTCTTTTCAAAGAAAATAATTTATTTCATACAAATAATTTAATTTTTGACGGTCAAAAGAAATAATTTATTCTTTTTTTTTTTTTTTTTTTTTTTTTGCGCAATTGAAAGGGATATTATTCAACAAAGTTAACTTTTTTTCAGTCAAAAGAGGTAACTTTTTTTTTTTTTGGATAATTTTTTATGGGTATGTCAAAAGAAATAATTTATTAGAGAAAAATAACCTTTTTTTTTTTGGGGTCTTATCAAAAGAGATAATTTATTCAATTTAGAAAAAATATATATAATCCTCTTCTTTTCATAATTGTTTTCTTTTCTTTTGGGGATGTTGACAAAAAATATAATTTCTTCAATAAATATTTTTTTTCGGGATTTTTTTTTTCATGTTAAAAGAAATAATTTTTTTAATGATTACTTTTTATTTTTTCAGTTCGATCAAAAGAATCAATTTATTCAACATAAATTTTTATTTCTTGGTCCTGTAAAAAAAAAAAATTTATTCAATTAATTTTTGTTTTGTCAAAATAATTTTTTGTTTTGTCAAAATAATAAATTTATGTAATTTCATGCATTGATTTCAAAATTTAGTAATTCACACTCCACTTTAGTAATTCATTCACTACTAACACAATAAAAAAATAATAAAAATTATTCTCTTAAAATATTAAATTTAAAAAAAAAAAGATATTTATTTTAAAGTAGAGGGACTATTATTTAATGAGTTTCTAAAGCATAAAAATTAAGGGTAAAACCTATTGATTTTATTTATTTATTGAAATTCACGCACGCAATTTGTTCACGCTAAAATGTGAAAAATTACTTTGTAAATATACCGGTAACTTTTTTATTTATTTACTTTTGATAAATGTATTTTGATTGGGATTGAGAAATCTCTCACTGTGTGGGTCCCTTTTACGTGCGATGTGTTACCTTTTATTTTGGATTGCTCTCCATTATTGACTGAAACAGAATTAGATAGGAGAAAAAGCTTTATATGCTGAAGTCCAAATTGGTCGGGTGTGTAAAAGTTTTTAGATTGGACTGAGTGGGTTGGCATTCTTTTCCACCTATTAATTATCCAAGCGGTCAGTTTCATCAATTCCCCCAGGCTTTGTGGTATTTGAATTCCTTTGTGTTATGTGTATGTATATGTATATGACACGAGAGATAAGATGACGTATGCAATCGCACTTTGTTAAAAGGTTATACGAATATGGACAGCTGTCTTGTGGAGTGGAATTTCAATTATTGATTTTCAGTTCTACGTTTGGTCAACTTGAACTAGTATAATCCAGTGTGTTTGTGTACCTTGTATTGTCAGGTTTTTCAAATGATGGAGACGTTTTTAATTTATTTAATTAATTTTTAAAATTAAGATGATATTTAAATCACAAAATTCTTGGTAACAATATCATTTTTATGTTCCGGGCTCTCGCTCTAACGTCATTTAATTTTGTCATTTTTGTACATTCACTCTTAAATTTGCTCCCGATTTGTGTGAACTTGAATTAAAAAAATAATTGCCTTCGAAAGTACAAAAAGACTACCTTCCTTTTTGGTATTGGTGTATGCTACTAAAATTATTTAAAATATTCATTATTACCCCCTCATATAATATCTTAGGTCTGTTCCAACTCATGAGAATAGTCATAAATTCTTTTTTTTATTTTATTTTTTTACTTAAGATTAATTAAATAATTGATTTAATTTTTCACACGTCTCAAAAAATTATTTCATCTAATAATTAATAGAGAGAGAGCACGTGACTCTCCTTGTAAAAAGAATTTTTAAGAGCATTACTTGCCTAATAATAATACCATTCTCTTATATAAGTAATTAAAACTATATAAAACTATTGAAGTATGTGCTTTAATAATATATCCTCTTTTTCAAAGCATATCTTTGAAAATTCTAAGTCTTCTCAAAATCATAACCCTGCATTGAAAAAACGTGTTAGTAATTGGCATTTATTTTATTTTATTTTATTTTTACTTGACAATGAATCGGATCAAATTCACAGATTATGTTTTATCTAAATTATTTATTATTATTTTTATAATTAATATTATTTATTTATCTTCTAACTATAACACAGTGGATAAAATTTTAATTTAATATTAGTTTATATATTTAAATAATTATTAAGTAATACATCTTTGAGTCTATTAAATTATAATTAACTAATTAAATTAATTAATATATTCTTTGAAAATATATATATAAATTTTATGGATCGGACTCACGGATTTTGACGGCTCAATCCATGAGTTATATATTCGATTTTTTTGAATTCGCCACTAATTCGTAAGTATAGCAATCCGATCCGCACAAATCTAATTGATTTCGCTGATTCACGGATTATATACACACCCTTAATTACCATGGATGTGTACGTGGGATGAAAAAAAATAAGAAAGTCTATTTATTTACTTTTTTTTGAATTTAAAACGTAAAAATATATATAATGGGTATTTTTAAAAATTGAATAGAAATATCAAAATATGTGAGAGAGAATCATAATTATCAAATCAGTACAAGAGGCATCTGGGATGCTAAAGAAGCTGGGGGATTTCAAGACTGCAGGTGACCCATTTACGCAAGGGGGGTTGTCCTCCTTGTTAAACAAAGTTTATCAAAGGCAAAGTTCTATGCTAAAGAATTTGCAAGCTATGAAGATTAGGCTTGATAAGAAGTCGAACAAAATAAAGGCTTGGAGGATGGTATACAATGTATTTTTTGGGGTCACTTCTGCCTCTGTGCTGATATGTTCTGTTGTGGCGACCGCGCTTACTTCACCACTGGTTGTGACGGCGTTGGCGGCTGTGGCTGCGGCTGGGTCGAATTTGGCGTCAATGGGTGGATGGATTAATTCCCTTTGGAAGAAGTATGAGAATGAGGTGGAAGGACAGAGCAAGATGAAAACGAGTTCAGTAGTTTATGGGACTTCCATTGGGAAATGTGAGTTGGACAGCATTCGAGTACTTGTGGATGAATTGGAAATTAAGGTTAAGTCACTGTTACATACACGTGAATTTTATTGTGAAAAAGAGAAAAATTTGACGCCGATTATAGATGAGATCCAGGGGAAGCTGCGTGTGTTTAAGAACTCCATTGAGGATTTGAGAAAACATATTGATAAATGTCGCGGTGATATAGAGATGGGGAAGAACAAGATCATGGTGATTATCAGAAATTACAAGAAGTGAACCTAGGTATGTATTACTTGGTCCATTTACTAAATATTTATCTTTTACTGAGATTAATTTATAGGATGAGTTTTATTGTGAGCTAGGCTATGCAGATTCTAAATTTCCCCTTTATATGAAAATATCATTATTTGCTAGCTTTAGTAGACTGATTTCGCATGCTTCATTTAATCGAACTATTGCTGAGTGTTACACTAAATTTGGAAGTTGTTAACTTTGTTAGTTGGTTGATTCAAGAATGATTAATTGGTAAACCATATATGCACTTTACTATAATATTCTTGGGCAACCTTTTCTGGAGGGAAAAAGGTAATTAAGTAAACTATATATGTGTATATATATATATTTACATTTTTTTTTTTTCTTTGGAAGTTGAAATGGTATATGTTTTATAGAACTAAAAAATTAAGAGTTATAATCCTGATCAGGTTGTAGATGACTCCGGTGAAGCGTTGTTGGAGGATGGAATCGAATGACCGAAGAACTGAGCCGGGTCGACACGCGTCCCCGTAGGCCATCAGTTCAGGCGCGATGTCTGAATATCGATGCTGTTGCTTTAGTTTGCTAGAATCACCACCCATTGTTGTTGTTGGCCTAAATGGAAATTTGAGAGACTGGGTTAGAAATATAGGTAGGGGGTGTCCGTGTCATCAGTGAGGACTCAGAAATTTTTTTTGAGAGGGAAGAAAAAAAAAAAAATTTGAAGATAATTTTTTAAATAAAATAATAAATATAAAAATTAAAATTTTTATGACTTGTTTGATTCTTTAATTTTTTAACCATGTTTTCTAAATTACTATTAGGCGTGGCCACGGATCAAATCGGATTAGGATTCGCTGCCAACAAATAGACAAATCTTAACCCGTCACTGATCCCACGGATCGAATCCGTAAAGACTTAGGAGTTAATGAAGATTAAGAAGAAAGGGATTTGAACATAAGGGACATAAGGTGAGGAACTTAAGATTTGACCCTGACAATACCGCCCACCTAAAAACATATCAATAATTGAAGAGACAAAATTCACATTCTTTCATAAAGTATTTTAGAAAAGGTAAATCTTACACCCCTACGTGGTGCTCTTTGCACCCAACTCCCCACTCACCAGAGACAGATTTTGTTTTTAGTCTTTTTTTTTTTTTTTAAGTTAATTCAAAGAAAAATATTTTTATCAATAATTATTAGAGAAAAAAGTCCAAGTGAGAAAGACTCGGCAAAATTCAGGTTTTCTTTCTTTTTCTTTTTTCTTTTTCTTAAAAATGAATTATATTAAAAAAAGATAAGAGGAGCATTCCCCACCTCCTCCCTTTTTATAGAAGATGGTATACAAGTGGAATTTAAAGTTTTCTGTCCTAATATATTATTTTATTATTCTAACATTTTAAATTCCATAGAATCCAGATCGAAGACGTAATTTTTCATGATTAATATATTGCCAAAACGAAAAGGATTACTTTGATGATGATCTACATGATCAAGAAGGTTCAACATGTTTCCATTTCCATCAATGAAAGAACAAAGATCCTTTTCAGCATAGAAGATGTTCAATATTAAATTTAATGGTTGAAATTGAATTGATTATTAGTGAAATTCACTAATAATGATGTAATCTTAATCATTGAATTTTGTGCTGAACCTCTCTTGTACTGAAGAGAATCTTGTCCTTGTTTGTCTTTTTTTTCTTTCTTTTTTTTTTCTTAATTCACAAGTTTGTTAATTACCCAATGTGTTAGTTAGTGGCTTTCATGTTTGAATTGACTTGGATCCTATTATTTCCTTGTGTTCTTGAAATTTCTTTTATGGTAATACTTGAGGTGTTACTTAACTTAATCCCATAATACGGTATTTTGTGTTTGTCATTCCAGAAATGCTTGAAAAATACAATTATAAAAAGGATCATGACATACATTCCTCAAAAATAAAAATGAAGATAAAAATTAGGTAAAAGAACTCCAAAAATTAGGTTTTTCTCTACCTCCAATGAAGGCAGTACCAACACTGACAACATTGACATGTGAGCACATATATACCTTGAATTATTATTATATTATATGAAACAAATAATTTATGTGGATAGATACTTGGACTTTTTATGCCTTATAAAGTGTGAGGTTTAAGGTTCAACACTCTTTGAATGTAAATAATTCTTTGGGACTATGTCCTCAGATGAAAAGCCCGAGTTTTACCGACCTATGTGGATAGGGCGTTTTATGTGATACCTCTGAATTTTTGAATGCGGGTTGGTCAGTCCCACGCCCGAATACCCGAGGATATTAAAATAAATTGGTAATAAACGAACACAGAGTACAAAAGAATAAATAAAAAATGCTTAAAAGAAACTAAAATGATAATCCAATAATAAAACCTCAGAATAAATTTTCATTAGTTAATAAACTCTTCTGATACAACTGATCCTCCAAAATATACAATTCGAGAATCCATACTATGTGGACCCCTAAAAAATGTCATCCGAACAACTGATAGCAATAATTGTCTACATTAGAAAACTGAAACGTAAAAGAAACTCTTATGTAGAAAATCCGGAAAAGTGAAGTAAACTGATCCCTGCTTAGCACGAACAATCTCTATTCTTGACGAATACCTAAAAAACAATAATGGTGAGTCAGGCCCACAAACAAGTTCTACTCTATTACAGTCCAATCAGAGATTCGATACACGTATACATTCTAGTCAATCCAACAATAACTAGTAGTATGTATATATATATAAATACACACTAAAGGAATCTCACTAGACTATAGGGTTGCCTTAACCTGAATAGTAGGCATCATGCAAAACGCACATATAGTGGGCACGAGTACCTAGACCTAACGGGGCACACAACTACACTATATCCAGCTATACATCCCTAGCGATATACACGCCATAACCACTGACCCTGAGACTCAAGTTCATATCATGGCACCATAATTATATATATATATATAATCTAGTAACCATCATATCCAATAAAATTAATCATCTACAGTAATCCTCTATAAGTCATTCAACTTGTTTAGTTGACCTGACTTGAAAATAAGAATGACTTAACATTTTAGTTAATCTATTCCCTTATATAAAATAGGTAGGACTTAACTTCTTTGGTTAATCTATCCCTAAAATGCCACAGTCTCATACCGGTGCATTAAACCACACAATCCAACAATTGATGTAATAATTAAAGAAATACATCAAACAATCCAGACATAACCATGATAATGTGATATCAAGTTATTACAAAATAAGAATGACTTATTATTTATTTAAGCTTCCAATATCATATGTCATACACAAATCGAATCTTATACATGATGATATTTTAATACACCATTAAATAAGTATTCTCCATATCCAATTCATCCCACCCATTTAATCCCAATTGATATAGCAATTTAAAAGATTAAATCTATCCGTTTATTTAAAACATTAAAATAGCAAACATCATTAAGATCGAGTCTATTTAAATTTATTTAAACCTATACCTAGCCCCTATTAAATGTTTAGGACCCTTCAAAATCAACAAAAAGTAATACTACGCTGATTACGAAACTTCTCCAGGTAATGCTCGAGCTTTTGTCCTCAATGCTCGAGCATCCTGTCCAAGGCTTGAGCATCGTATTTCAGGCTCGAGCTTTTTATCTCAATTGCTCGAGCTTTCCTTCTCAGGCTCGAGCTTTACATCCAATTACTCGAGCTTGACAACTAATTGCTCGAGCTTTACAACCAATTGCTCGAGTTTTCCTTCTCAGGCTCGAATTTTTCATCCAAAGCTTGAGCTTTGCCCCCAAGGCTCGAGCACTGTAACAGCGAACCGAGCCCTGTTAAGCGAATCAACCAAGAATTCTACTGTGAATTCATTCCTTATTTGTTTCAGGAATCCTAGGCATGTTTCTACGTTCCATCAATCCACAGATATGAAAATCACATAATTTAAATATGTAAAAATTCATATAAGAAATCAAATCATATCAATGAATTTAACCATTCATACTATAAGAACAACTATGAACCAATTTCATAAAACCTATGTTCTAATCCAATTAAACATGCATAATTATTTAATTTTATGTATTTAATAAATTCTGGAATTTCTAGGCATGTATAGAAACACAAATCTAAGGGAGAGAGATAGAAGAAGAACTTGCCTTAAACTTTCGGATCGAAAGTTAAACTTCTTATTCCTTGATTTTCTCTCTGCAGGATTTTTCTCCTCTTTCCTTTCTTTTCCTCATTCTCTCTCTAACTCTCTTTCTCTATAATAGATTACGTGAATATTTCTAACCTCCTTTTACAACCTATAGTTATATATTTATAGGCTAGATAAACTAACCATAATCCTTTTCCCAATCCAAGTCCACTTAAAAAAATAAATAAAAATTAAATTAAATTAAAATATTGAAAAGGTAACTTAAAATATGTTATGTATATAATTTATGTTTAACCTTGTTAAATAAACAAATTATATATATCCGATTATTTATTAACATATTATTTAACAATACTTAAGTTACCATAATATTATTAAGTAACTGAAAACATAGCACGTATAAAATCTATATATATTCTTATTATTTAAATATATAAAAATATACTCAGATTAAATATTAATATCCTAGTTACCATAAAAGTAATTTATAAATTACTTTCCCTTTTATATATGTATATAATATATCTATATATATACATACACAATAATCTTTGGGTAATAATTCATACCCATCCAACCTCCTATCCAAGTAGCCTATAGGACCCAATTAGTTGGCCCATTACTACTAATCATAACCATAAAAGAAAATAAAACATTATAAAATAAAGTAAAAAAAATAAAATATTTAATTTACAATTAATCAAAACACCATTCAAGCGCATAATCTAATTAAACAATTAACACATAGACAAATACAAATAACACATAGACACATAATCCAAATAATCAAGTAACACTTAATTCAATTGCACACATAAGCAATTAGTCAAATAATCAATTAAATAATTAAAAATGTAATTAAAACAAATAAATAAATACCGAGACTATCATTTTAAAATTAGGGGTATTACATTTTATTAGCTTTTGTTGTAGGTAAGAAGAAACAGTTAGGATGCAAAGATAAGAGAAAATACCAAGTTTTTGATGAAAAGACCTGCAAGGCAAAAAAAGTGTAAAATTGAGCCAGATCTTCATTTGATTTAAAAATTCTATTCAACCATTTATATGTCCTGCAACTACCATGTCTTGAATATCTTTTTTTTTTTTCTTCATAATTGTACCATGTCTTGAATATCTACGCGAGGTTTTTTTTTTTTTTTTTTTTTGTTTCCTTCTATCTGGACCAAGCATCTAGAAGGGTTTCTCTTGAAAAAGATGACAGAAAATAAACCCTTCTAGATGCTTGGTCCAGATAGAAGGAAACAAAAAAAAAAAAAAAAAAAAAAAAAA